AACAACCTTAGAAGTTCATTTACATTTATAAGGCAATCAACATAGGTTTGCCTTCCTTTTATTTGTTTGTTTGTTTTTAAAGGGGCTGGTCCACCATATTTGCTCTACTATTATCCTTGGAGACTATTTATCAGTAAAAGCAGTTGTCCCTATTTACCCTCCAGGAAAATTAACCCTTCGGACTGGATGCTTCTCTACAACCAATCTAAGTGCATTAATCCTACCCAGTGCCAAAAAGCAAAGGAAAGTAGGGATACTAAAAAAAAACAACACCATCCACTTTAATTCAGAGATGGAATTCTAGATTTATTCCCATCTAGACAACAATTATCAGGAATTACACCCTCCACCAGGCCACGTGTTTGCTTTCTTTTGGAAGGTGAGGGCTAATAACGACCAAGGCCACAGTAGCCCTGATCTCCATCCCATTGTTGGGTTTTAATTCTACCTGAGCAGAATTAGGAGAAGCAACCTGACCACAGAACGGAAACTCAGCTACCTCCCCCTCCGCTTCCCCTTCCCCATCCCCATCCCCCTCCCCATCACCTCTACCAAATGTTGAAGCCTTTTCAATTTCTATTGACTAGCTGCCAATCATTATGTTTCATACTTTTGCTGAGCGTGGCTCCCCAAGGAAACCTGATTTTTTTTTTTAACCTCTCCCCTTCTTTGGACTTTTGAGGTTGTTGGGTTTTTTGTGTGTGTACTCCCTCCTTTTCTTCTCTTTTTCATTTCTTTTTCTTTTTTTTTCTTTTTGAAGATTTTATTTGGGTTTTCACAAAAATCAAAATACAAATAAAACATCTTTTTTGAAAATAGCATGGTCCCAAGTTATCACTTCTTCATACAGACACAAAACTCAATTTCATGCTCATTTTTATATTCTATTCCATATCTTATTACCATTTTATATTTTCTACATAGTTTTCCCCTTCTTCTAATTTTCTCAACTTTGTTTTAATTATCTCAATTCAAATCATTATATTTATACTTTTGTCTGTCCTGTTACAATTTCACATTATCTTTTCTTATTAAGCAAATTTTTCTCTGTAGTTACCAATTAGAGTATGACACCTTTATATCCTTTAATTTTATCCATTCAAGCTCTTATTTAAGCTTCAGTGTATAGCTTTAAGATTATAGCATTCAATATAATACATAACTTCCAATCGAATTCTGCTTGGTACATTCTTAAAATAGACACTATATTCTTAAAAAGAAAAAAATTATATATATAAATATATAAATAAAACACATTCCATTCCAATTCAGTTCCATCACTAATATGCATTAAAATCTTAACATCTTTAACATTTCTTTTCAATTGAATATCATACTTCCTTGGGAACACTTATAAACTTTCCATAATTAATTCTTTTTTTCCCCATATTTCTCACTTATATTTTTATAAATCATTACTAATAATTAAAAATGTTCCCTTTTAATTCTCTCAATCATTTTAATTCATTTATTTATTAACAAACATCCCACTGCATTACAATAAATATTTTATCCATCATCATATTTTCTAAAGTTATTTCTATTTGTAATATAACAAAGCTATCTTATGTACCGTTGCAGAATCCCTTTTACAATTAAATTTTCACCCATTATCTCTAAACAAACTTATGGTTACAATCCTTATATCTTTCCCCTGTTTCTCCATTTCTTGTTTCTGTCTTTTACAACTTCTTTTCCTTGCCTTCTTCCCCCTCTTCTTCTCCCCCCCCCTTTTTACCCCCTCATCTCTCTACTTCTAACTCTCTCATCTGTAATCCCCTCTTCTGTTGCTTTCTAATGTTATACTTATCTTTCAAATTGTTCTTCTTTTTGGTTGTTTTTTCTAATCTTAAACCTTTCACTCTCTTTCTCCCCTTTTCTTCCTCCCCCACTTAAAATTATTTGATCATTAAAGATGGCTTCTTCTTTGTCCCAATCTTCTTGTTCTGCAAGCGTTTCTTGTTGCTTCTCATAGTTCCAGATCTCCATTTCTAAGAATTGAAACACGAAGCCAAAAGAACCTCTCCCTTCTTGTCCATCTTCTTTCCATTTTTAAAATTCCATTTTCAGTTCTTCTAAGAGTGATACCATTTTTAAAACCTTTAAACAACCACCCAGTTAATTTTAGTCATCTAGATGCAAAAACCAAAAATCACCAAGTAATAATCCAATAATCCAAGGCTGTTTCTACTTGCTTCTTTTTTTCCACTTTCTCTTCCTGGGGTTCTATTATTTTGTTACCAAGTTTCCATTAAAATGTATCCTTGAGCAATCTTGTTAAAATTTCACTGTAAGTTCATTTTAATTACAGTTCCATTCCTTAATTCCAGGCAGTCTCCTCCATTTTTCCAGATCCTGCCCTTCTATTCTTTTTTTTTCTCCTTTTCAGCTTTTAAAAACTTTTAAATGTCCAGAAATCTTTATTTATCCCTTTGACTTTTATTTTCAGCTTAGATGCCTATTAATATCAAAGTGGATTTTTTTTTCAGTTTCTTGCTTAAGTCTCTTAGTTGTCAATATAAGGAAGAGAAGAAAAAAAACCTAATCCTTTCCCTTCTCTCTCTCCTTCGCAGCTTCAAAATCTTCTTTGGGAACAATGTTGTTAAGTTTAAATTCCAGGGTACCTTATTTGACCCGGTCTTCTTATCTTCCTCCTGCACATTCTTTTCCGGTCGAGTTCTTCTTTGTGGTGGCCATTTCTGACCACCGCTACAACTGCCTTTGGGAAAGGGAGTAATGGCCAGCTGGGGAGGAGAGATGCGGCTCTCTTCAACCCTGAAGGCAGTCTCCCCCCTCTTCACCACCTCTACGGCGTGGCTTAGCCCTGAAACCAGCTGGCTCGGGGCGCTCCAGTAACGAGCACGGATCAAAGCCTTGGAGAGACGAGGTTTCAGTCTGTCGTCGAAGAAGCTCAAACCGGAAGTTTTTCCATTTCTTTTTCTTTTTTTAAAGTCTTGTTTTTGAGGAGTAAAAAAAATGTGAGCCCCAAAATGTCCTTTAACCTGGAGGATGATAAGCAGGTTGATTTGAAGAGACAATAGTGCCAACAAACATGCACATTTAGCTGACCTTTAGCTTCTACCATTTATTGGTGTCATTTACTTAAGCAAGACATTTAGCTTGATCGTCATTCTGCAGCACCATTTAAAATACAGCACACATTTGTACAGAAGCTCATCCTTTGTTCGAAGGAAATGAAAACATCCCAATCTTTTATTTTTTTTAATTGTTTCTCTGATATTGTGCTTAAGTATTCACACAAATGTATATAACTTGCTGATTTGAATAATAAATGTGCAAATGGTCTGTAGAGATTCTCAGTCATCCAAGTCATGGTTGTCCCAAAGGAGCTGAAGAAGCTTCTTGGATAAGAAGCGAAATGTCTTCAAAGAAAAAAAATAAAAAAGTCTAGTTGCCTCCTGAAAAAAAAGCACCTTTGGAACAAATGTGCAAATAACTGACTTCGATGAGAGAGGCAAAACTAAGCACTGTTAGCCTAAAAGCCACCTGTCCTGAAGACTGCATGTTCCTATTTTGTCTACAAATTCATTTTCTTTGGAATCGTTGCAGAACTGAAAGTAGGACTACTTTTAAAATATCTCCTGGGGATGACCTTTTAAATTTGCTGCCATATGGGTGGGTCTTAAAGGTTTTTACCCAGCTTTTTAGCCAGCTCCAAGATGACCTTGTATAGTACCACAAAATCAAAGAGCCAATATCAAAGAAAATTGCTGAACTATGTGATGTATAGAGCCATTGATTTTCCCCATCTTCCCAGTAACAGTAATAGCAATGGGAAGAAAAAAACAACCCAGAATTCACAGTAGCAGAATTCCAAATACGACCTTATAGCTAACAACTTTATTTTTATTTATTTATGTATTTATTTATGTATTTATTTATTAAGTCCACCAAATGTAAGCCATCGCATTTTGACAATAGTGCATTGTTACTGGTCTATTTTAGAGTCTTGTGTGTGTGTGTATATATTTGACTGAGATTATATGTTTTAAAACGAGGTCCCCAACCCCTGGCCCACAGACTGGTTCCGGTCCACCTCCCGTTGGGAACTGGGCCATGGAAGTGGCGGGCAAACCTTCATTTGTGCATGTGAGGAGCTAGGATAGGAAAAGTTTTCTTTTTGCCACCACCACCACCACCAGTAAGGTTGGGTACAGCCTTTTTAAAAAGTCACTTAACCCTTGCTATATTCGAAGAGTGTAAATATACAATCTGGAAAATTTTGCCTGAATTTTACTAGAAATTTCTAAACAAGAATTCCGTTTGCAAGTCCTTTCTTTTACTATGCACGGACTCTTAGTTTATCAGTCCTTGTGGAAAGCAAAAGATGGTTATTGGCAACTTTTAAAATGTTCTAGACAAAGAAAGGTAAAACTGGTAAGTATTTAAAACTCACAACTATTTCCGCCACCTTTTCTCAAAAAGGGTTTGGTAAACACTTCTGTTTTTATTTATTGTTTGTAAGTCTTACTTTAAATGTAAGAAATCCAGGTAACCAGATGTGCAGAGGTAAACCAGTGCATGACGGCAAATTTTGTAACTATATTCAAATATTTTAAAAGAATATATGTAATCAAAGCATCGTATAAGCCAAAGAACCAATTGCCCTTTTAGAAAGTTGTTATTAATGGGAACAGTCAATAGATACATAGAGTATACTTATATCCCTTTGAAATCACTGGGGCTTAAAGTTATGCATATTTCCAGTAGTCCACATTTAGCAACCACAATTGGGATCAGCAATTTGGTCACTAAATGAAACCACAGTCCATGCTTACCATCATACTTCACTTTTCCTTTGCTTTACAAACTCAAGAAGGTTGACTGTAAAGTTACATTTTATCACCATCTTAATTATAAACAATGGCTAAATGAGGCAACTGCTAAACAAGGACTATACTCTCTAGAGATAATATCTACTGTTTTTATGAACTAATTAAAGGAAAATGTTTTTGTTGTCTTTATTTTTTTCCCCCCAGGATTCACGAAACGCTTCAAGCATCCATACTGTGTCAAGTTCTTTACCCCAGCTAGATCAAGGCTGTCTTCCAGGGTTTTTGCCACTGAAGTCCGAATCAGATTATGATCTGCCTTTTACCTTGGCACATAATGGACCTCCAATTTCATCCTTTCCTTCAAACCTACATGTCATGTCTGCCAAAAGAGCAATGCCAAATGGATGCTAGAATTCTAGTCATTTTGTAAAGCAGCTGAAAGAGAATTAATTAAAGTCTGATTTTATTAGGATGGTTTTTAGCCTTTGAATTGAAGTTTGCTCTCTATGCATTTCTATGGCATTAATTTTACATTCTTCGTGGGAGGAAGGAGGGGGGCGATGTTTGCATATACTGCACATCCCATGCCCAGCATAGTGGAAGGGTCATTTAAAAAAAAAAAACTTTTATTTACCGTGGTAGCTCATTTTTATGTAATATATTTTTAAATGTTAAAGAATGACACATTTGGGGTAATTTTCCTCAGACTTAAAAAAAAAAATCAATAAGCCATTTTATTCTCTATCTATCAAAGTTGTTTCATACTTGTCTATTTTAAAACAGGGCTGCAATACTTTAATAGGATTGAGAGAGCTATTTGAAATGTATGCCAATGATTCCTGTCATTTCATGGCAGCCCTGCCATGGTTCACTGAGCCCTCTCTTCTCTCTTGTCAGCTCAACTGAAGACAAGCATTTAGTTGCAAACTTTAAGCAGGTTGTGCAAAACAGAAATGATGTGACTGCTTCTCCTCCTGCACAATTATGTCACTCCTGGTCAATGTGAGAAGGTCAGGTTGCGCCTTGTAAAGCTACATGATACCACTTGCCCATTTGAACAAGTTAAGTGCAGAATCCGGTCCCTAACGGCCCCTCTTTTTTTTTTTTTATCAAGTCGGCATTTGATCAGGAAGTAGAAACAACTGTTGTAGGGAGATTTGGAGAGGGTCTGTGTTTATGTGCTTTCGTAAGGGTAGTTCTCAAGCCAGCATCGCCCGGTAATAAATTTAATCCTGAATTTCAAGATTTTAGAGTAATGGCTGCTCTGACCTTCAAAATAAGCTCCTTTCTTTGTTGTTGTTGTTGTTGTTGGTAGGACCCAAGAGTGACGCCCATCTTTTGATGCTGACAGAATGTAAAGCAAGGCCATTGCCCTGCATTTTCTGCCTTGTAGCACACAAAAGTAAAATTGTATGTCAGGCCAAGAGCTGACAAGACGCCCCAGTGACATTTCAGCTGGAAAGAGCAAGTGTCTTGCAACCAAGTGGTCAAATATCAAATAATAGGTCAAGCAGGAAGGAGCTGAGTTCTAACCACAAAGAGGTTTCTGGTAACTTACTTGACAAGCTTTTGGGCGCTTTGTGGCTTGACAAAGTGATATTCTGTTGGGTATCGCTAGACAGTCTGTTCTTTATTGCCTTCAGAAGATCAGACATTGACATTGATTAAACTCTTTAACCCTTAAAGGTTAAATTCTGGCCGTATGCATCATTGTGAGGAAAGAACAAAAGAAATTTTGTAATATATACCATTTGTTATGGTATTAATCACCCCAACTCCCCAGCGCCATTAACATTTGATGTGTGATGTAGTTTTTGACAGGGTTATTGAATGCAAAATCTATACCTTAGATTGCTTCTCATTATAGATCAGAGATACATTAGAAAAATAACATTGTGCTTGGTGGAATTTTGCAATTTCTCATGCTTTGATAAGAGTAGGGTTTGATTTTGTAAACCTGACTGCTAACGTTTGTCTTTTGTCCTATCATCCCAGAAGACAATAAATTTGCATACGTAATACACCTACCACTATCAGTAAAATCATGTAAATTCCTGACTGGTAATTCCAAAGCCACTTGGTAGAACTTGGAAATTTTTCAAGTATTTCTTATTTTAAGATTTCAAGAGGGCTTTCGTGCCTGGCGTTGTAACTGTGTTCATTTAAAAAATGAGCAAATAGTGTTTTTTTTTTTTTAAGATCTCTCTTCATAGCATATTATCTTTGGACTATTTAAAGAAATATTTTTCCTCTTTCTGATTATTTCTACCCATAGAAAAATCAGAAAAAGTAATATGTATTATTCCAATCAGAGATTGCTTATCTTTTCCATATGGAATTTTAGCATGCTTTGTTTTGTGCTGTTTTTCATTTTCTTAATTACAGTACACACTTAAGCTTTTTTTTTTAAAGGTGTAAGATGGAAGTCTGATAAGATTTGCTTATCAGCTGTATAATAAGTCACAGTTTGAGATTAAAATCAACATAATAATTTATACATTATTGGTTGTTGGAGAATTGGAACAGATCTGATTTGCCTTTTTTTACAGAGCACTGGAAATTCATAAGGAGTGTTACAGATAGATGTAGAGTGTATAGATAAATGTAATATTTTTAAACAGAGAGTTTACAAAGCAAGGTGATCACAGCTAATATTCTCTGGAAGTAGTTACAGCTACACCACAGAGTAGATATGACACCAGCAATCTTAGATCTTTTTATCGCAGCATTTCCCAAGGAAACGGTATATACTCAAGAGTAAAATTTGTTCCCATTGTTTTATTCCCTGCTACTCACAGCCATGCTTTCTTACCAAATTAGCATTTGCACACTTCTGCTTATATTTGCTATTTATACCAAATACATCTGTACTCATGAATTCATCTATAAAATTCTCTGTCCCAATATTTTTCCTCTTTTCTGATCTCAACATTCAGGAGGGTCTCTGTGTGTGTATAGATGTCAAGCTTTATTAGCTCCACATTTAGAAAGCTAATTATTATAACTGCACCTAATGTAATGAAATCACGATTCTATCATCAAACTTTTTTTAATCCACGGCATGCTTAGATGTTTATACGGTCAGTGATGATACTCAGAACTTATCAACCCTGTGGTTAGAAAATGCACATAAAATTATTAAACGAACTCACCACTAAGTCTTCCTACGCAGAAAAATATTCAGCCAGACAGAGGCTTCAGGTCCACAGAATCTGACAGTTTGGTCAAAATAACAACACAAGTGTCACAACAGCATGACACAAGCCCTGCAGCTTTACCACTATGATATCAGGGGCATGTGCAAAAGTGGCAGAGCCTACACTATCACACTTATCCTGTCCATTCCCTCACATGCACCCACTCCCCATGCTTTCAAGATGAATACGGGTATATATTTAGTTCTGTGCACTTAACTATGGCAAGAAAGATAATAAAATGGGGCAAAATTCACTTAACAAACGTCTCACTTAGCAACAGAAATTTTGGGCTCAGTTGTGGTCGCAAGTCGAGGACCACCTGTACTTGATTGGTCATACCAGTAAAGGCACATAAAACTGTACTGTATCACTTCAAGAAGTTTAACATGTATGTTTTTCAAGCAGGCTGTAACTTAAATATAATGAAAGATTGGAGTACTTTTCATAAGATGACCCACTATAGGTTGGGAAGATTCTTACACGGAAAAGATTGGCTAGTATTTCTTAATAAAAAGTAGAAGTGCAATCCCAAATGTTGTTGATTCGTTTTTCAAATTGGTACTTAACGCGCTCCCCCCAAAAGTTAGTCCAGTTTAGTTTGAATAATAATTGAAATTAGAATAAGAACCATATCCAATGTCTCAGCTCATTCTATATCCAGTTTATCTGCCTACTAGAAAACAAGTAATGGAAGATGTTTTTGAAGCCTTAACAGCCACAGCTTCCATAAAATCAGTTAATATCATGGATCTATTTTACGTCAATGGCGTGGCCCAACTGGTATCATTGTAATAAGGTTATGTTTACTAGAATTTTCAGAATATTTTTAAAAAATATATTTTGAAATAAGCATCCCTATTTTAGTTGACAATAACCTCTCTACACTTTTATTTAATTTTTAGGTTGTTAGGGCTACATACGATTTTAACCTAAGAGGTTTTGCATTTCAAGGAGCTTTTTTCTACTGAACACACACAGTAAAGAAACTATTATTGTTGTCTGTAATGGCAGCGTATAAGCATCGTGTGAATTGTAAATTTGGGGGCTGGTGAAGGAAAGCAAGCAGAAGAGAAGAGCATTTTAAGGAAGTAGATTTGATTATATTTATACCTCTATCAATCTTACCAATGCAGTGGGTTGCATTTAGCACAAATGCTTGAAATAAAGTAATTTTTATTCTAAGAATATATTTCTGTTTCCAGGCTTAGTTTCAAAACTCACCAGTATTTTTGCCATATGGCTAGCATACTTTTTCCCCCCTAATCTACATTGTTTACTAGGGCTCCACACATGCTTTTCAGAAGTACAGTTTCTTGCTAAAGGAAAGGCATTTATTTTTGATATATGACACTGTTCTTGTACTGAATAAAGGGAATGTACTGAATAAAGGGAGCCACGAAGGAATGAAACATTTGTATTGACATATTAGTTTGTGTGCATCCAAAGAAACTTCTAAAGAAGCTAATTGGCTCCACATTTATACAGTAGGCTCCTAGATGATATAAGCTCCCACTCAACCGACTTCTAATAGAGTTCTCAATAAGCAAGCATAGGATTAGGCAATTAAAGTATTAGAAGAACATTCAGTTTGTGTTTGCTTGTTTATATTTTCTACATAGATAATTGAAGGAAATCTTTAGTATTTGTGATACCTGTTAGGTTAGGTCTGCACTTTTTAAAAAGTCTTTTTCTTACAGGAAATAACTTCTCCCTGTCAGGTTTTAAAAGCAATTTATATTTGATTATGATAAATTGTAGAAATCATCATGAGATGATCTGCCAACAGGCAAGGGTGATTGCGAAATCTCCATCACCTTTATTTAAATCAGGAATACACAGCTGGGAAAAGAGAGCGGCATCCTCTAATCTTCCCACGAGTAAGCCCCATTGAAGTCAATAGAATTTATTTTTGAATTAGCTTTCATAGAATCACACTGAACAACTTTGTCTTAAATAGGTCTCAAATGTCAGTTGTGGATTTGATGAGTGCAAGCAATAAATAAAAGGCTGGAACAAATATAAGTACCATATTAAGAACAGAATTAGTAACTTCCCAAAGCAAGAATGCAATTATTGTCTCTGAATTCAGACAAAATGATAAGCTGAAATGGTAGATAACAAAATTTCTGAATAAATATGAGACAATGAATTCACGCATCAATATAGTCAAAACATGGTTTGTTTGGATTTTGTTTGAAACTAGTCACTGTGATTTATAAAACCAAATTTATAATATATCAGGTAATGGAAATCCAGCCAT